TAAATCAATTTCCCCACAAGTTTCTGGTACCTCCCTTTGTCTACTATCTCCACGGTTTCCTCTTTTTCACCCTTACTTTCAACTTCCATATCTTCTTCCTCTTTGGACCCTTCTTCAGCACAATTTGTCTTTTTGGGCTTCTTTTAGTTTTCTTGACTGTAATAGAAGTTTCAGCAGGCTTGCATCCTAGTAAACCTGTCTCTTTCAGAAGATCAAGTATATATCTCCTCTAAGAGACATATATTCCCTTCTTTGATCTTGCAACTTCCATCCCGAGAAAATATTTCAACGACCTAGGATCCTTAGCTTCAAACTCTCAATCGAGAATAGTTTTTATTTTCTCCATTTCCTCAACAGTCACCTGTGAGTATTATATCATCATCATAGACAATAAGGATACTTCTCTTACCTTCCTCATACTTGACAAACAGTATGTGATCAGATAACCCGTTGTAGCCTGTGGCTTTGAGGACTCTTGAGAACCTCTCAAACCATACTCTGGGTTACTGTTTCAAACCATATAGTGGCTTCCTCAACTTGTACGCTTGATCACTTCTTTTGTCAAAACGAAGAGGTAAAGTCATATACACTTCTTTAAGTTCACAATTCAAGAATGCATTTTTAATCTCTAGTTGACGTAAAAGCCATTCTAAATTTGCTACCACAAAGAGCAATACTCTATTGTATTCAACTTTGCTACAGGAGCAAATGTTTACCAAACCATAGGTTTGAGTAAACCCATGGCTACCAAGTGAGCCTTGTACCTATCCAGATTCCTATCATGCTTAGGGGTGAACATCCATGTGCACCCTAATGTTCTTTTTCCTTTGGGCAATGAAACAATTTCCCATGTTCCATTTTTCTCCAAGGTTCTCATCTCCTCCATCACAACACACCTCCATTCTAGCATGCTCATTGCTTTATATACATCATTAGGGATCTTCATCTTGTCATGATTAGTGATAAAAGCACAAAATTGAGTAGACAAGGCTTCACAACTACTTTTCAATGGGGTGTTGTGCACGTGATCTAGGTTGCTTTCTAAGAGCTATAGGTAGATTCAAGTCATTTGGTTTTTCTACCTCAATCACCTTCTCAATCACTTCATCTAGGATTTGTTCAGGAACCTCCACCAGTTCAAGGTCTGGAAGTGCTTCAGGCATGATGAGTCTTTCCAATGTGCTTTTCTCATTTTCTTTCCTTGAAGGGCTTGTCAAATCTGTTTCTGACAAAAAGGATGTTCAGAGGCAGAATTTAAGGAATTTGAGGGCTGAAACTGATCAACAGACATTATAGGTTCAGCTATATCACGTTCCTCCTCTCCCCCACCTTTCAAAGGATGAAATTCACTCCACTACTCCCCCTGAATTGAAGCTTTAGGAAAAAATGGTTCATTTTCAGGAAAGGAGACATCCCTACTCACAAACAAACGTTTAGAGACAGGATCATAGCATTTTTATCTTTGTTTATTGAATAGGCAGCCAAGATAGACACACCTAGCAGCTCTATTATCAAGTCTGTGGGAGTTATGAGAGTGAACAAAAATTGTACAGCCAAGATTTTGAGGGGAATGTTTGTGTCTAGATATGTAAGAGAGTGAGACTTGCAAAGTTTATCAAGTAGAGTGGAGAAAGAGAGTACTCAACTAGGCATGCGATTTAAGATAAGCGGCAGTGAAAACAGCATCTCCCCAAAAATATTTTTGGACATTGTTTGCGAACATCAATGCATGTGCAACCTTAAGGAGGTGCCTGTTTTTCCTCTCAGTAATACCATTAAGTTGTGAGCTATTAGGACAAGAGCTATTATGAATTATACCATGATTTTTGAGAAAAGTGCCCAAGTTTTTGTTGAAGCATTCAGTGCCATTATCAATATGAAGGATTTTGATGCTAGTGTTAAACTAGATTTGAATCACGATGTAAAATTCGATAAATACAGAGGCAACCTCAGTCTTATCATGAAGCAAGTAAACCCAACAAAGTCAAGTATAATCATCAATGAATGTAAGAAACCATTTGGTATGGGTACAATTTAGAACACAGGCAGGGCCCCATAAATCACTATGAATAATAGAAAAAAGACTAGTGGGTTTATATTCAACAGTTTTAAAAATTGCACGATGATTTTTAGCGAGTTCACACTTATTACAATGAAAAGGCTCTTTGTTGAAACAAAATTCAGGAAATAACTGACTCAAATATTGAATGTTTGGATAACCCCTCCTTCTATGCCATAGTAGAAGATTGTTAGCATCCTTATTTTTAGAAGTAGTCGTGAGATTGCATTGTATTTGAGACCAAAGATTTCTCACCATTGACTCATAAAGATAGTAGAGACCATCATGCTCCTTTGCATTGCCAATCATTTTTTCCAATGAGAGATCTTGGAAAATACAATGAGTAAAGCAAAAGTGAGCCCAACAATTTGCTTGTTTTGTCAACTTGCTAATAGAAAGAAGATTACAAGCTAAATATGGAACATGACGAACTGAATCTAACTTCATAAATTTAGTAATAGTGATACTGCCTATGCCAACTATTAGGAAGGAGGATCCATTCCTTGTATTAATTTTTTCATTGCCAGCACTGGGTAAATATGTACTGAACAACTTAGAGTCAGAGGTCATAAGATCCAATGCTCCTAAATCAACAATCTACTTGTAGTTTTTAGAAGTGGTGAGAAGAGCAAAAGTACCTCGATGTGCACAGAAGCCATAGAATTTGGTTTATGGAATTGCTCTGTCATTTGTAAGACATTGAGCATCTCAATGAGCTTACCTAGTTGTTCCTTGTCAATCTAAGGCACCAAGGTAGACACAAATTGTTCATAAGAAGCTTCAAGAGATGTTTGATAACCCCAGGCTTTCCCTTCTGAGGCTTCTAGTCAGAAGGTTTGCCATGTAGGTCCTAGCATGTCTCCCAATATGTCCTACCTTCTTACAATGCTCACATGTAGGTTTTCCTTTCTGCCCTTTTGTAGTGGAGTCATTACTCCTACTCACCAACGCAGCAATGTCAACAGAGGGGTTAGAAACAGAAAGGTATCCTGTAGCATCACCTTTCTCCGTGAAGTTTCTCGTCATATTTCAACAAAGACCTCTCTTGTTGAGGGAAGAGGGGACATAATCTAGCGACTTGTTTAATCCTATAAGAAACTAAAATACTCACTCCTTCTCTATTCTTTCCTTGTGAAAGGTAGCATCACAAGCACAAACCCACTCCTCATTAGACATCAAGTCTAATTCCTTCCATAATGCAGAAATTTCCAGCTAATAGGATGCGACATCACAGTCAAATAATTGTGCCAAGCCTTCTCCATCTGAGTAAGAGGCATGCATGGCTTCCCAAATCTTATGAACATTAAGGAGGAACATAAAACTTCATTTGATCTGCCACACTGTCGCATTGATCTACCACGAAGAAACTAACGCATTTTCAGTGCGCAACTGTTGCAGCGCTTGAATATTGGTCTCGTCTAGCATCTTCATCGCCCCTGTTACAAGTCCCACCTTTCCCCTACTGTTGATAGCTAGCTTCACTGCTTGCACCCATTCACGGTAATTTGTACCATTTAATTTATCAAATACAATTAGCATGAAAGACCCTTCGAAGCCAATAATCGACCCAAGGGTACCACTAGCTTGACGCAGGTCACTTGTCAAGGACCTGTCTGTCTCAGTCATTGAATAAGTCATTTCCATAGCTGGACGACTTGGGTTCAACTCACTCAAGGTGCTTGAGTTATTGTGTTTTTTAGAATTTTTGACTGGCTCTATTACCATGTAGTTTTGAGCAATCAAATAATTCTGTATTTCATTAGAAACTGTACAAAGAATAATACATAGTCAAACTACCCAAGATACTCTCCCCAACTATAGCAATATACTATTATTAGTATTTACAAGAGAGAGAGAGATATATATAGCTTAACCACTGTACTTCACTCATTTGACTAAACATGTGCACTTTCCTCATATAACAATTAAATCGAATGAAAACATTTTCATCTCCTTCATTGGATAAAATTTTTTGCAGCATTGTCTCAATTTGGATCCATTAAGCAAGTTGATATAGCAGGGAGCTAAGAAATTCATATTCATTCAAAAAGATTCTTTCTTCTTGGCATTAGACCAAAAAAGGGGGAATGGCAGTGAGGGCCCCAGGAGAGAGAAAAAAGCAGTGAGGGTCCTAAATAACTGAAAGTTCATCTATACACAAATTAATCGATAAAACTTTAGTTGTTCATAGAAAAACCTTCAGTTGCTCAGGGCCTTCACTGCTCTGTTTTCTCCTCTGGGGGCCCTCACTGCCATTCTCCCCACACACAAAAAAAAAAAAAAAAAGTCTCTCTTTGAGAATTTCTCTGATTTTTATCTGATTTCTTCCATTCTATCACAAATGAGTGGCCATCTTTAAATAGAGCATCAAAACTTTTTCTTCAATCAAAAGCGTCCCTTTTTTCAATTTAACATATTCAGATTTAATCATCTATCAATTTAAACTAAACATGGGGCTTGAAATACAAAGAAATTAGAAATGATGCAATTTCATTTTTTTACAATTATTCTGTGACATGCCAGAAGTCCAATCAAAAAAGAAATACTTATGACTAAGCAAGGGCTAAAAATGTAGCTTTTATAATTAGAGGGCTAGTTGGAAGGCTGTGTGCAGACACCCACAAGGTGGAAAGATACCTCATACGAATCATATCAGGCCACAACAATTGCCAACATCGAATGGATGCCACAAAAAGTTATCTGCAGCATGCAAAGCATGGCGGTTCACACAAATCCATGCCTAAATTGTCTAACTTAGGTGAATAGAATTATTCTGAGGTTTGTGAATTGCATCCATAAAATTTCAAACTGACCTAAAAGTAAACATTACCGCATATTTAAAAACAGCATAATTATGAAAGGGGGGGTGGAGGAGCATGCAATGCCAGAACTATGATAGAAATGGAACCATAAAAATATCTGAAATAAGTGAGTTCCATACCACTCGACGAAGCAAGGGCTCTAGAATCGGCTCCAACAAATTCCGGAAAGAGTGTAATCTCATCGCCTCATGCACCACACTGAACAGTATTGAAAATAAATAAAGTAAAAAGCCAATACTGTGTTCAGTTAATCAAAAATGCTGTACAATGTCATTCATCTTTTCCATATTAAATTAATTTACTTAAAATTTATTACAATAGAAGGTTAATTTGACAATCATTTCTCATTAGCAAGCATGCAAGGAATATATATGACATCAATTCTCCACATGCGCAGTCAAATTCCATTCATTTCGGGAGAAGTATAACATTATATCATGATTCATAAGCTTTAAGTGACATATAGATCAATCAAAAATATATTTTGTACCATGTTCTCCATTTCCGTTATACCCTGATCCCTTCATCCAAACAGGGTTGTGAGACATTTAATCCAAATGCAATTTACTTCTAAGTAAAGGATAAGAAACAACGTATAAATTCTAAGCAAACCAAACAAGCTTTAGGAACTTGGACAAATTAATAGCAATCAAGTTTACAATGGTTATGGAGCATTCATCGCTAATTCTCATTTGGTAATAAAACCCAGTTAAGTTTATATACATATGAGCGCTTCGCATTTTTTAGGAATTCTCATCCTAAGAGCAATCCACCTAGTCAGATACAATCATCAACAAATTCTATTTGTTTTTTCACACAATTTTCCAATTTTCTTAAATCATAGCGACGAACAAGGGTGGGGAGAGAAAAATTGACCAGATAGTCGCCCGGGGGGAGAGGGGAGCAGCCTCTTACCTGGTAAGGGCGGGAACCTTTCTGCGCTTATCCTCCGGACTGCTACTTTCTGGTTTAGCCTTGCCATCTTCGGGGCGTCTCTTCTGCGACATCGCCGAAGCTTGAGCAAAAGGCGCAAGGCTATGCGGTGGCGACGGTTGTGAGCATCCAAATCGAAAAACATGCGGCTGAAGATACAGAACAGAATCAAAAGAGGACAGCTGCAACAACGCCAGTAAATGACAATATTATTAAACTGGCACCGTAACACTAACAAAGCGTTATGCCTCTTTTGTGACTGTGTGCGGGTCAAGCAAGCATATCTTACCATTAACTGAGCTTGTTTACTTTGCGGAATGCTCCTTCGGCTCGAAGCTCACTCGCCATCTACTTTTTGTTGCTTCTTTGGCTTCAAGCAACACTTACCCATTGATGCTACCATACCGTCTCTTCGCTGGTAATATGAATTTATATGAGGAGCGAAAGAGGCTTCCTCTATCGCGCGAAAAGTGTGGGGCCCACGGAAAGCGCGTTTCCTGACTCAGTAAACGGGGGTCCACCGCATCTTGAACGCGCGTTCGATGAGCTAACCTCTGCCTGAGGCTTGGAGGCATGGCTCATCCGTGACAACTATGAATTATCATTTCAGATTTCAAACCTCCATAACCGGTCAAACTCAACCTGCCTGAGTTTTCCGATCTTGGCAATTTTTCGAGCAGCAAAATAGACTCGTGCTCGGATTTTTTTTTTTTTTTGCGCACTCATGCATTCAGTAAAATATTCGTACCATACTATATAAAACACATGTTTATTATTTTAATTTTACTATTTTTATCACCTAACAAAAGTCCAAAATTAATCATCTGTTATTAATTATTTTCATTATTCATTTTTATGTTTTAATTTAGTTAATGTCAATTTATTCATGTCTGTTAAACATGGAAGCCATGGATTTCGTTATTTTTCTTCTTCTTTCATGTAAACTTCTAGATTTTTCAAAACTCCAACTAATTATTATATTTCCAGTAACAAAAAAACCTCTGGATTTTTCACGTAATAATTTGTTAATCTGAGATGACTATAAATTCTTAAAAAAGAAAAAGAAAAAAACAAAGAACAACCACTGAAGATTTATTTTTATATTATTATTCTTTTAGAAAAAATTGTCCAATTGGTTGACGAACATTAAATATTTTTGTTTTTTTAAAAAAAAAAAGTTGCCACCTGACGAAGATGATTTCATCAAACGAGAATTGCAAAAATGGAAGGTAGTTCTATCGCTGGTTTTTTTTTTTGTTTGCGTCCATCATAGACATAGTAATATTAGAAGATCCAGGGTTGATTGAGAATGAGATAAGCAAATAGGCTGTCGGCATAAGATGCTCAAGAGGGTCAAAATAATGAAGCAAGAATTCTTTTCAAATTAAATAATGATAATTAGATAACTTGGTGACTCTCGAAGCATTATTCTTGCCAATAATTATATTTAGAATCATAGAGACCACAAATTGAATTTAATTTAGTTGTTGTTGCGTGACAAATTGTGAGATGTTATTAGCTAGCGATTTTGGGCCAAGAAATATGAGGAGTGACGGAAGAAGACTGCGATCGATGTTAACTAGATATCGAACATCGAAACATCAGGTGACAAAACCCAGTACAACAGAATCATTTCCGTCTACCAACAAGATTAGATTTAGCAGAATGGATTAGTCCCTTATTGCGTGCAGAACTAAGGCTTGAATCTTTTTCAAGAGAAGTAATTACATTTAACATCAGACCGTGTCCTAAATTGCTTCTAATAAAAAAAAACCTATAAACAATTAAAAAAATCATCTCTGCCTTTGAGCCTTCATTGTTGATCATTTACGGCACTGGAATTTGCAAAGTTTTGGGAAAACGCTGGATGAGATAAACAACTCAAATGTGCGAAGAGTCACGAATATGATTATGATGTGTTGTCGATGCAATAATGATATTTGGTGATAGTGAAAACTCTAACTAAAGTAGACTATAACTCCAGGCGTTAAATCCTTAACAACAACAAGAAGATCCAAACTGACTACAAGACTCATAGGCAAAGGTTATGTTTGGTTTAAGCTTTAAACCCAAACTAAGATTTGGGTGGTGCAAACTGAGGTTTCAGATCCAAAAATCATGCTGGATCCCAATAATCTTGTTCGGACAAAAAGTGTTGAAAAATGGCTTTTGGCTCAAACTAGAGCTTAAGGTAGAAGCTATTTTCATTTGTTTTTTTTTTTTTCACCTTCAACTCTTTGGTTTGGTGCTCATTTACCGAAACATAAATCATGTTAAACTGGATTTTAAAAAAATTAAAAATAAATCACATTACAATAACCTTAACTTCAATTTACAAATTTTAGTTTATAGAAATTTTAGTTTTACAAGTTTTAATTTAAACACGTTAACATGCAGGTCACGTGTAGGAAGTGGTTTCTGGGGTGTTAGGTATGAAGGGAACAAGAGAAAGCTCACAGTGAACAATCTGGTAAAGCCGTAATGCTACGGAAACTAAGAAAAGGATCAGACGCTGAGCCCAAGTACACAGACCAAACATGTCAAATGTCTAATAGCACTTGGCCAGGGGCCGAATCTAATACCAATAAGGCGTTCACATTCACTCTGCTCAAAGAGTTTCAAGTTTAAATTAATTCATGCATGTGTTTTGTGTACTCTTCTGCTTTCCCGCAATTCAAACCCGTAACTACTTTTTCTTCTTTTCGTGGCCCTTTTAAATGTTTTAACAAGCATGTGCATACGTTTGTACAGTTGTACTCCCCTCGTTTCTTTTTACGAGTTACTTGCAGTATTTTTGTTAAATATACGTTGCTCATCGCAAGTATACAGATCATAGCAAGTAATATAAATAAGTAGAATATCGTTCTTTTGAGGATTTGTTTAAAAACTATAATCAAGCAAAAGACTAAGCAAATTCGATCAAGTTAAGCTACACATAGTTAGATAAAAATAATTTTACAAATAAAAATAACACTAGAAAATAAAGAAAAATGAGTAATTCATAAACTTTAAACACAATTTAGGACCTAGAATTATTTATCCCCCTTACATTTCATAACACCAAAATTACCTCCTCTCATAAATGCTTTTAATGCAAATAAATGCTAATCTAAGGTACTAAAAATACTTGGACAAGCTCTCTCAAATCATAAACAAGTGTTTAGTTAAATTAATTGTTTAATCTCTTATTACAATTAATAAAACTCAATTTTAAACACCAACCTTAATGTGGCTATGCAAGTCTAGCAAGTATATCTCTATCTTACTAGCAAAACCATCCATTCAACATACAAATATCAAGTTCTTACACAATTTTATCCAAATTTTACACTCAACCTAGCCATCTCAAGCATTAATTAAGTGAACCTAATATTTAAATGGTGGCCAATCACTTAGAAGCATTAAGGAAAGAGTAAAATAAACACATATATATCATTAATCACAAAAAGAGAGGAGGAACATAGTGTTAATCCATATAAGGGTTCTAAATAATCCTAGAACAAAGAGTTTAGCTACTCATAATCATCCATAAGCTACAAATATACAAGATAAGTGGACTCATTTCAGATTACAAGATAAGAAAGGGAAGAAGAATAGAAAAATCAAAGAAGAAGAGCTCCAAATGTCTTCAAAGCTTTAATCTTTTAATCCTAACTCTTCCAATGCCCAAACCCTCACACAACCAAGCTCCAAATGTGTCTAAAAGTCTGAAAAATGCATTCTAGATGGAGCTCTCAGCTTATATGTGTCATAGCCAACTAATTTCTGATAAATGAAATGCAGCATTTTTCTGACAGCGGCAAAAGTCACGGATAAAAGTCACGACTTTAGAACGACTTTGGTAGTTTTGCACTGTTTTTGCAGCTAACGAAAATCATTCATTTTGTGCTTGATTTCTTCATCCAAAAGCCTTCCAAACACATCCACAAAACTCCAGAAATGCTTTTAATTGAAATTTCAACCAAAATAACATGAGATTAGGCTAAAAATATCAAATCAAAAGTAAGAATACAAACCTAAAATAAAATGCACATTTTCCTAACTTGGGCAATAAAAACATATACAATTGAGCTAAAATAGATTAAAATCTAAGGAAAATGTGATAAAATAACATAAACTTCTAAAGGTTAACAATATACATATATCATTTCTAATCTTTAAACTTCGATAGTTTTTTATTTTGCAGGCCAAAAACAAAAAAAGGATAGTCTTTTATTTATATTTTTTATAAGTTATTTTCAATGCTTTGTTTTACCTCTTATATTTCTTTATTGTGATGTGTTTAGATTGGATCTAGCACTTTGGACTTTAGGTTACCAATAGCAATTGCAATGTGTTTGAACTCGATTTGGCACTTTGAATTTTAGGTTACCAATAGCAATGTAATTTCGTTCTTGTTACCCCAACACATAATCAAAACCATCATGGTAATTAAGGAATAATCCATACTAATAATCACACTATAATCAAAAAGCTTTAACTACAATCATGGAAAGAATAACTATAATAAAAAGGTAAAAGACCCGCTCAAAGTTTTGTTATAATTAAAATTATTGACATCAATAACAAAAATTTAAATGCACCCTACTATGGTGCATCATGCATAAAGTTTTCATTTTTTCAACACAATTTCACACATAACTTACCACATTATCAAAATTACATCAATAACTTTTTAAACATCAAACAAGTTTTAAATCATCATTTTCAATAATTATTTAATTAATATACAACTATCCAAATTAGATTCCTCTGGTTGCCTTGAACATTTAATAGATCAAAAATTTACCTCTCACAATACCAACTTTCAAAGCTTCTTTTCAAGCTTGAATGATGCAAAAATCAATGGTTTACAGTCATTTCACAAGGATATTATCATTATCTCATTTTAACCAATGGGTCATAAACTCCATATATCCCTTTTCGTCAAACTCATAACTCACACTCAATCATACTCAATGGGTTTATTAAGTTTCATTGACCAACATTATCAATAATGAGTCATTAAACCATCATTAATGAGCATTAAATACTCCCAACAACTTCATTTATTATGAAATTCAGATGTTAATGTCTCCCAACTATTAACCAATCACAAAGTATTGATGTAGGACTTAGATACTTCAAACAACTTGCATTATATCCATTTTAACCAATGGGTTCGATCCTATAACTCATATAGACCGAAAACTACTATCCCAACTCAAACTCTAACTCAACTCTTCACAAAAATGGAAGTAAAGGAAAGAGATTGGGCTTAGCAATCTTACCTTAGGTGTTGAGAAGCTTTACAGCATCACCACTGGTCTTAATGTACATGCCCTAGTAGAGCAAATTTTGTGTTCTTTTTTTTTCTAGCTTTCTTCTCCTCTGATTTTGCACACAGACACAAATTGATTAATGCAGATTTTTAATCGTGCATCATGGTGCACATAGCCTCCTGCCGCGATGCATGGTACAAAGAGGCCTAGTTCACACTAATTATCTTTATGTGTCGCAATAGACATTCCTCACATTGCAGCATGTGACACTGAGGATTTTTCTTCACTTTCTCTCCACTTTTGATGCCCGAATAGCCCGACCACACTTTGAAACCATGTTTAGGGCTAAAATTAAAATCAAATACACTTATTAGATTTTTCTGACCACACACCTC